CCAGGCCACAGCTGGATGTCCAGGTGGATCATAATTCTTGAGAAATAATCTCTCTGCCAGGTGTCCCCAGTGGAGAGGAGAAGGTCGAGCAACCTTCTGGGAAATTGTATGGGAAGTCCTCCAATCAAAGATGGGACCAAGCTTTTATAGAATAAAGTAGATTACTGTAATTTAACTATTTAGCTATACCTCCAAAATCTCTCATTGGCGAATAAAAATAAAATGGTAGAAAAACCATAAAGGCTCTTTTCTCACCAAGCAAATTCTTATGTTTATCTGTTCCTTCTCACTTTATCTCCGTTTCAGGCCTGGTTGTGTCTGGCTTGGGCTCCGTGTTCTTCAAAACTTTGACAGCAGCTGGTGTTATGAACATCAACTTGGCCTCTGTTTGTACCTTTCAAGGTTGTTACCAGCTCAAAGTTTGCCAGGCCTTTTCCTTTCTCATAGGAGCCTTTCCACTTCAGGCCCGGGGCCTGCAAAACTGAGAGACAAAAAGCAGTTGAATCATAAGAGGGAAACTAAGGCAAGCATATTGAGAGATGGAGTGTCCTGCTACTGTTGCTACATCTCTCTCTGGTGTTTTGCCACATAGCTCCTTGGAGATTAAATTTGGCCAGTCGGTACCATTAGATAGGGTTTTCCCAAGTCGATTCTGGTTTATGTAAGTTTGGAGTTTGTAACTACCCAATGCCTTTGTAGTTTTGAGATCATAGATGTAACATGGGGGCAAAGAAAAGCAGAGCTTTGTTATTACTCAGAAAACAAATGTTACTGAAGTTAGAGAAAGCCATAACACAGAATGAATCAGATACTTTCAGAAAAGAAAGCTCCAATCTCATGCTTTTTGTTCTTAAAAGCATCTATCACACTGGAGCCTCAAAGCTCTTTGGTACTACTGGGGAAGGAAACTATGAAGATACGTGCAAAGTTGCTTCGTTCTTCTCCTGAAGTCTGTCAACGTTGTAGTTAAATTCTACCTGTGGATTTGATTCTAAATTACGTCATGCATTAGATACTACACAGGAAGATAATGTGGTTGTCCAGACTACTTTGATAGAAAACAATGTCACTGTTGTTTGCTAGCATGTTCAAGTGTGAGATACTTCATAAGCTCTAAATTAAGTAAGGTTCCAGTGGCAAAATAAAATTTTGTTTAATTCTGTGCAGCAGTATGTAAAAAAGAAATAGGAAAGAAGATGGTAGGTGAGGGAAGAGAACTCAAAGACATTAATCTTGTTGCCTTTACACGTTAGTCGAGTGTGGTCATGAAGGAAAAGACAAGTATTGGAACATAAAAAAATGGATCCCTGTTACTGAAGGAATCCTCATATACTGGAGGGATTTTAAATGATGGAAGAAAATAAAGCAGGAGAACTTTGCTGACAATATGTTGAGGCTGACACTTTCAGTGGAATTGGTAGAATCTGCAGATCTGTTGCAGTATTAGGCTGGAATTACTAAGAACCTTTAGGGTGAAGAGAGACCTTTTAAAACTGAAAGTTCTTCATACCGAGGTGTAGTTTTGATCCCTTCATTCCAAGATTAAAACCTAGGAATATTCCATTTAAGCTGCTTCTAAATAATCTGTAATAAAAATATGTCAGTAATACTGTGACTGTCCTTCACAATAAACATCATAGCCTACAGTAGTACAGATGAAAGGAAAACAAACAAGTTTCAGTAATTATCACCTAAGTATGAGAAGAGGATCACCAAAGAAGAGCAAATACATGTGTGAGCTTTGGGTATTTAGTATAGTTACTTCATTTCTAAAGTTGTCTAAAATATTTTCTGTTTATGAAAATGTATCGTTAGAATAACCTTCCGTTAACGTATTTTCATACCATCATTTGCAGAACAACAAAAAAAAACCAAAGCCAAAACAAAACCCAGCTTTATTTCTGAAGTGGTTAACATAACATTTTATGCAGAAAATATTTTAAACAGAGTTATTTTAAAAGTGTTTGGGGTTTTTTTTATTTAAATATTTTAAACCCTGTACAAGGTGTTTTTGTTGAGTGGTTTCTTTACATTCTACCTATTTCTTCTTTAAGTGATGTTTTCTGATAAAAAGTAGGTTAATACACAGTGTAGTCTGCCTAAAGCATTAGAATATGTTTCATTATTGATAAAAGTAATATAATCACTGAACCACAGAATGTGTTGGGTTGGAAGGGACCTTTAAAGGTCATCTAGTGAGCAGAGACCTCTTGAACAAGATCAGGTTGCTCAGAGGCCCATTGAACCCAACCTTGACTATTTCCATGGATGGGGCCTCCACTACCTCTCTGGGCAACCTGTTCCAGTGTCTCACCATCCTCATAGTAAAGAATGTCTTCTAATAACTAATGTAAATCTACCCTACGTGGAGTGTAAGGCTGTTGCCCCTTGTCCTATCACCACATGCCCTTGTAAACAGTCCCTCCCCAGCTTTCCTATAGGTCCCACGTATTGACACATGAGAAAAATCAGTAAGAATGCCAAGGTTGTCACTAACCCTTGGCTTTAGTGTTTAGTAATTCTGAATGTATCCTAAAAGGATCCTTTACTGTACCATACTTCAGGCACTTTACTATACTGTAATATGTCTCAGGTGAACAGTGTCCTTGAAAAGGAAGACCTTGAAAATCTGAGGCCCAGAAAATGAAAGACAGAGAAAGGACATAGGAGCTTATGGGCTTCTTATTTTCCTCTATCATGTCTAGACATGGAAGGACCTCCTTTATTTTGTGCTTAAACTGCTTACAGGTCAGCTGGGAACTGTGCCTTTTCTTCATGTGAAAAACTTCTTATTAATACCATGTGGCTAATGCCTGCTCCAGGGGTTGAAGGGGTTACCATTATAGCAGCATGAATGCCTTGTCCTTTCTTGGTCTCCGTGTTTTGAAATGGTTTATATTTCTGTTTTTGAGAGATCTGAGTTAAGCTGAACTTGGTGTTCTAGAGAGACAGAAAATAGCACTTAAATCTGTGCTTAAGCATCTTTGTTTCTGTGTATTCTGAATTCCTACAAAGCAGTCAAATGCTGTTAGGATTTAGAGCAGCTACTCATGCAGGACATCCTGGGGGCATCATTTTTTCATGTGCATCTCTAGAATTTCCATTCCATGTTCCTCTGTGTCATGAAATTCCAGCATTTCCCCAGTCAGGAGTATTTGGATTTGTAAAAAAAGCAAAACATCTATCTTTTGTGGAAAAGTAGAGAAGAAACCATAATTTCCTATATATTCCAAATTTCTTGTATATTCCAAACTAAAATGCTTTTGTCTACTTTTTGCGTGATTCCGCATTAAATTAATTTTAGAAGCCACCTTTTATATAATATTTTTGTTATCTCGTTTAAAGTCGTCACATTTCTCCAAGTCCTTTTAATTGTATTTTAAGCATTTTCACTGTGTGTAACTGTACTACCAGGAAATAAATTATTCTAAAGTGGTGATGAAATTTTTTGTTGTGCCACCTTATTATTTCTCTGAGGGGAGTTTTTTCTATTGCAAATAAGAGGTATTAATGAGTTTAGAAGGTGAAGGTTCCTCTACCTAAGGGAGATATTTTATTTTCAAAGGCATGTTCAATTGTTGAGAGAGTCTATGCTAACAGAAATGTCTTTTTCTGTTAGTTTTAAAGCCCCATAGTAAATTTAAGAGAAACAAATCCTCATAGATATACTTATGGCAATTGTCTTTCACAGGAATAACCTTTTTACACTGAAAACAAAATTTACTGTTCTTGTTTGAAGAGGGACAGGGAGTAAAAAATTATTTTCTTTACTCTTTAGTGGTCATAACTAAAACATAGGTAGGGACCTCAGAGAAGTAGTAATATTAATATGTTACCTCTGTTGTTTGAAAAATACCCAACTGTCGTAAATTTCGACTAGTATCTAAAGTTACAGCTTTTAGTGCTATGTTACTTCATCTGAATGTTTCACTGAAAATAAAAACTGTGTAAAGAAAGGAAGTACATAGTTCCTCAAAAATTACAAAATTGTCCAACTGTTTCCACAAGTTAAAATAAATACTGCAATGATACAGCCGTCTGTTCAGTTTTCACCATGCTGGAAACATAAGTATATCCTACCAGTTTAGTTGGAAAACTGCTTTCACAGAAGTGATGGCTAAAATAAGTCAACATCAAAGATACAAGACTACAAGCAAGGAGTTCTTGTAGTTGTCTCCCCTTTACAGAGTTTCCAACAAGTAATGCTCTGCCTTCCTAACTTGTGAGATTTGCCAACCATGACTTGGACATAATAAAACTTTGAACTTATTTATGACTCATCCCTGCATTAAAGATGAAGGGTGTTTTTTCTTCTCTCCCTGCCCCCTCCATAGCATGCAGCTGAGAGATTCTATTTAATATCTGCTAAAATCACTGAAAGCTCTTTCATTGCTTTAAGTAGAAAGTGGATTAAGTAGGTTTTGTCTTTGAACTTTGCTCTTGACAGAAGGAGGCTTTTTGCCTTTGCCCTGGCATTAAATGGCATGCCACATATTAATTTTCCACAATCAAGGCAATGAGAGTATTAGCATCAAACAAAATTGAAAAATAAAAAATAATTCTTCTTTAAATGGACTGCCTTTAAACCTAATCTGCTATAAAGCAAGACTGCCTGTACATGCTAGAATAGCAGACAAGTCTTTGCAAGATTGGAGCCTAATCTTCAGGTTTTGTTATCGGTATTCTACAACATTATTTGTGATTTATTGTGCAGAAATTAAACCAAATCTTAATTGTTTATACATTCTACTGATACTCCATAGATTAGTGTTGATTATTTGTTAAGGATGTGTTCTTAACATTTTTAATATATATGTTAATTATTTCCTGTGATATTTAATATCCTTCATCTGCATATGCTGCTCTCCATACCTACAGTTCCATTAACTAAGTGGGGAGAGAATGTGTTTGTACCTGCATACAGCTTTTAAAATCAGCACTATCTCTTTTTTTTTCTTTAACTTTTCTAATACAGTGTATTTATTCATTTTACTTTTCAGAAAAAACAGAGGACAAAGGATCTGTCCCAGCTGTTTCATTCATACAATCCATATGATCATAAGGTAAGAAAAAATATACTACCTACATTTTGTTGATGAGATTAATTCCAAACAGTCATGGTAGCTATATTTCATGTTTCATGCAAAAAGGAGAGGAAATGATAAAATTGAAAGTGCTAGGGTATTCATGTTGCTTTAATTATGCTATTGCATAAATGTTTCTTTGTTTCTTCAAGCCAAGCTTGAAAAGCTGCATTTTCTTATTTGTGAAACCAATGACTCACATTAAACTCATAGAAGTGTAATTTATAGACTAACTTGAAATCCTGCAAAGTAACCATATGTGGTATCAGATTCCCCTGTTTTTTTTCTCTCTATTTATAAACTGTGTTTCCCTTGAGTATGTTGCTTAGCCTGTTATGTCAATTAGGCCCTGAGATACACGGTACTAATAAATTATCTATTGATTCTGGAGGCATCATTGGAAGAGGCTGCATTTCTAACAAGGCTGATGGTTGTCTGGGGGAAGAAGAAATACACATCATCATTATAACTTGATCCTTATTTATAAATTCTAGGAACCCTGGTTTAAAACCCACCTTTTTTATTATATCCCATACTATAGGGTAAGAAATGTATGAACATATGCATGTATGTGTGTAACTGCACGTGTGTCTATGAGAAGGTAATACATTGTATGATGTATTAATCCATTTCTGGATTAATCCATTCATTAATGGATGAAATTTATCAGGCAGGTTGTTGCTATGATAGTTCCATAGTTACCAGCAACTTGAAAATTTACTATTTAAAAAACCACTGCCAAAACAGTAGGTATAGACAGACTTGCATTATTTACAAGAATTGGTAAGAGACTGTGAAAATTGAGAAATATGAAGAATAAAGGAAATCAGTGTGACAAGATTTTGAATGGGATCATTGCCTTTTTGAGTTGAAGCATTTTAAGGTAAATGTAATAGTAAATGAATTAAGATCTAATAAGGAGAAGCAACTGATGAACTAAAAGCATTAATATTCCTCTTCATGTCTAAATTCTCCTGTGCCAAACACGTTTATTCATAGTACAAGGGAATTCCATTATTCTTTATTAGCACTTTTAATGGAGCTTGGTCATTTGTTAACTCCTGCTGCCTTCCTGCTCATATCCTTTGTGGCATTATATCAAAGTATCCTCAAGTGATTTTGGCTTCAGTTGTGAAGACTTGTGCACTCTTTACAAATTAGTCATCAGGCAATGTGGAATTGAATAAAAATGCTTAGATATATTTCCTTTTGATCTTTGTTTTTGGACCTTTAATAAATTATTTAAAGTGACACAGTTGTTTGATGGGTGATTTTCGAAACTCCACTCCTTTGCTGCTTCCAAGCACATCCTGCATATATATCTGAGAGTAAAAGGAAGAAAAAGGACAAATGAAAGGATATTAAAAATGTGGTCTTTCCTCATTTTCCTTTTGACAGTGGAAGTTTTCATTCTGTTAACTACTTCATTTTTCTCAGGTGAATTTTTGTTGTTAAAATATATCAATATATTCTAAAATTCTTATTTATTTATCAATATTTAATTGCGTATTTCATGTATATAATTATTAAATTAAATAATTTAAAATAATTTTATTTCTTTAACTATTCTTATTTACATTCCACAAATAATCATTTAGAAAATGCTGAGGTATATCTTGATTTTCATAAAATCATTAAGGTTGGAAGGGACCTTAAAGACCATCAAGTTCCAATCCTCCTGCCATGAGCAGGGAACCCTACCACTAGATCAGGTGGCACAAAACCTCATCCAACCTGGTCTTAAAAACC